GTCGTCGCCATTCCCTCTTGCAAGATTTGATCTTTGCAGCAATAAGGGAATCAAGAAATCAATTCTTGACATCGGTCTTGCAAGAAAGATTGAAAAAGATTCGGTGTTCAGAGTTTCCAGAGGGTTCTTGCAAAGGATCCAGTGTGTAGGACGCACCCTGCTGGTTCCGTTCCATCCACAGCTGTGTCATCTTCAGCAGGATCGGTTCCTAGTGTCTTCTTTGGGCGTGAACACCAACTTTGGGAGATACTGTTTCTTCGGATCAGGTATAATCCTCCCTTTTTCCTTTTGGTTCAGATCTGGTTCGATTATGATTCAAGTAGAATCCTTGAATATTGTATTCTAAATTTAGGGAATGCGATTCCCAGTTGGGAGAAGGTAGGAAAATTTTTGAAATTCGCCCACCCATTCCGCAACCTTTTGGCGTCCATTAGATGGATCCTACCATTCTTTCAAAAAGAACAAATGACCCAAACGACTACGACAAAACATAATACAACTAGTGGACTCTAAAACAAATGCAGTTCTCTTAGGTTGTACTTAGCTCTGCTCAGGCATGTCTAACAGATAGATCCCATTCGCTTCATGGCCACTCCCAATCACCATTTTAGATTCCATGTCCTGAAAAAACACAATATGAAGGAAAAAAAGGTCACACTGCAATTTAGAGATTTAGTCAAATTACTAACTGAAAGAAAATTGGTATTAAGTTTAGGTACATGAAGAATAGATGATAAGGTCAAGGCATTAGAGGTCTTAATGTCTCCCTTTCCCAAGATAGGGGCTAGGGAGCCATCAGCAAGGGATATCTTATCTTGGCCAGAAAGAAGTTGGTAAGAGGTGAATAACTATGAAACATTGGTCATATGGTCAAAAGAACCAAAATCAATTATCCAAGGGGTTTAATGAGTACCTAAGACAGAAGCATGATGTGTAGTGGCACGAATACCTTAGTGAGCAAATGCAGAGGAAGGAACAGCTTCTGAAAGAGTTGTAGCAGTGGACTCCAAGTGACTAATGATTCAGCCATACTTCTCATATTCAGCCCTAGCGGTTGCAAGCTGTTCTCCCACTGACTTCTCTCCACCCTGTCCTTATTCACCTTGTGAAGAGGTGGCTACATTTGCATTTCCACCATTTTCTTTTTTGAATCTGGCATAAATGAGCTCTGGATGCAGTTTCCAACATGTGTCTTTAGTGTGTTTAGGCTTCTTGCAGTATTCACAGATAACATCTTTCTTTCCAATGCTAACCTTCCGCCTCATCCCAGCATTAGCATAGTGATCAACCTACGGCCCAACAGACTAAACTTGTCTTCTGCTCTCCTCACTGCTCACCATAGCATATGCTTGAGACAAAGTCACCTCATCCTTTGCTAAAACATTCTACCTCACAATATCATACTCC